CCCATCGTAGAGGAGGCTGGGTGGGCCCCAGAGTCGGGCTGGACGCAGAGGCTAAAGGAAAAATCCTCTGCCCCCGCCGGGGATCGAACCCCGGCCGTCCAGCCCGTAGCTAGTCACTATACTGACTGAGCTATCCCGGCTCATGCATTAGGCTGAAGTGGACTGGGAAAATTATGAGAAATGTGGGATTAGTATATTCCTGCGGAATTTCAGCCTTGTGTCTTGCAAAATTGTATTGCCTCTTAACCAAGAATCCTCATATCCCCCTCCCCCACCCATTTTTAACTTGGTTTGGACACGTAATTAAATATTATGTGGCTAAAACAGTATTGTGTTAGTAAAAGTAAATAGTCTTACCAGGTGTCGCCATTGTACGGACTAGAGCTCAGCAAAATTCTACACAGTTTCTATTTTTGCTTCAAGGTTTTCGCTCATTTTTAGACTGATGTGCGTTGCTCTGAGTTACGTGGTGTAGGGACTTGTTGTTAGTGGATCTGTCAGATTAATTACAGCTGGCAGCGGGTTTGAGTGCACGCATCTACTCTCAGTACTTGCACTGGGAATGCGTGTTTATACCTTCCGGTATCTTTAACGTGATTGCAAAAGTGTCCTCCGGTTTTAAGTTCCAACTGTTTTATACCATATTTTTCTCAGCGTCTGTTTATTGCAGATGCACGTTCTTGTAAAGATGGTCGCTTTAGAGGTACAATAACGCCCATGACCAGAACTTTTTGTTTCGTTGCTTAATGTTCGTAATGTAGACATTCGGTTTATTTTTGTTGATTTTAATCAGAGTATTTTATACGATGAGCCATCTTTTCAGAAAGTCGACTAATCTCGATTTGAACTTTCTGAAAAGTAGCACCAATGTGAACCGATGTTAAATTGATATTTGAGGTTCTTACGGTCGTGAAGTTATCGATCATGAACCTGAATTTGGATACAGATAAGACGGTTAATGCTGTTTCTTGTTCTATTTTTCTAACATTTTGATTGTAGCAACACAACTTTAAATTGTATACTTACTTGGATTAACACGCAAGAATACAGTAGGCGTTGATTTCCGATGTATGATTAAAAGATTCTGCAAGTCTTTCAAAACGCATTTGACCTTAGGGAGTGAACCATTAGAATAGAAGTTCGATACTGTTTGTCATTGTAAACAGAAATATAGCGTTCATGCACTGTAGTCGGGGCGAATCTGCTTTTCGCCTACGTCAGAAGATTGCGGGTAGAAGGTAAACAAACGCATTGGTGTATAAACCAAAGAACCAGCGAACTACTGGGTACTATCGTTGGGAAAGAATGTTAACTGTGCTGCTTCTAACTGATTTCGAGCGTAAATATTCGCCCCGACTACAGTACTGCCCGTTCAACATCTCCTTGGCGGTGGCGATGCATTTAAAAATTCCAGTCGGGTGACGTTGGCTGACTAAGTTGTGGGTGGGAGATACAATGTCATCAGTAAAATACTTCATGTGTAATTGCGCAGGCTGTCGCATTGGCGTCAGTCGACGGTTCTGTTATCAGACAGTACAAAGAAAGAACACGAGTCTCTTCGTCTCTCTCCCCACTCAGCAGGCGATAAACTGATGACTACAAACAGTGACTCCCTCACCTGCAAACGACACAGCTGTGTTGAACGGGGTGTGACTCACACAGTTAACTCGACTGCAAGACGTAAATTGCTGTCCATGACTGAAACTTTAAGTAAATGTTTTAGGCTTTGTGTGGCCGGCCATACGTGGGCAAGACTTTCGTTGCTAGCAGCTTGTAACCGTCGCTCATAGGCCAGGTTGTTTGCTCTAATCTCTACCAGCATGTTCGCTTTGGTCCTGTGTTGGTGCGCGTGAGAATAAAGAATATGCTTGTAACTTTAAGAACGAAATTTGGACTTTTCCATTATGCAGTGAACTTTCTTTGAATATTTGAGTGGAATGTTTTACGGTACAAGGCTCTTGAGTGCATGGTGCAGAGTCTTTGTTTAGAAGATAATATTCGCTTAGCTGGTCAGGACATTTCCTTGTCTACTGTGGAATTTGAAGGTTCATTACTTCGTTCACAAGAGTTGGCCAGTTTTTCCTATCCTGACCCAGATGGATTCAGTACACACCCTCACACACCATATTTCTACAAAATCCATTTTGTTGTCATCCCATCTGCGTCTGGTTTTCTAGCTGATATCCCTTCCACGTGTTTGTCGGACGTCCCTGCCCCATTCTACCCTTCACTTTCTATTCATAGAGCTGCTTCGTGAGGTTAAGGTATTGTTTGTCTGAGCGGAGAATTAACTCGACCAATTAGAAGTACCCATCTGCGCAGGCTCACAGCCGTTCTACTACGCGGTGTAGAAACATCGGTTGACTCTCAGTTCTCCGTTAGTTTCTTAGTGTTACGTCTGATTATTTTGTTTTTAGTATTTCATACTTTGTACATAATTTAGTTTTGATTGGGTCATTGGTAACGTGCCCATACCTTCAAATGTCATACAGGTTGATTCAGCAGTCAACACTTTTCGTCGAGGAGCAATGACGTCACGGCTACAAGGTCGAGTAACTTCTTCGCTCAAAAACAGTAGTCGCTTTTATCCAGACTTGATGTCGCTTGTTTTGTGATTACAGAACTTGGAGGACCGAGAACGTAAACACGCAGTGCACAAAGAACACCTGCATCGAGAACATCGCTACCTGAGGCGGCGACTGGAACAGTTGAACGCGCACAACGCGCTCTCCAAGCGACGTTCAGTCTCTGAATGCAGCACCTCCACTGTGTCCAGTACAAACTCTTCTTCATCGGGGTCATCTTCGTCCATTTCAGAATCAGGTACGTGTATTTCGTTCATTATGTAGATAGAAACTTGAAGTTAAAAGCTTCGTGCACGTAGAGCCGACTGCTGAACGAAGTTTTGTGACTGTTGTTGACTCACACAATTACGACGTGCATTGTCCATTGCGTAAGAGTTGATACGCGTGAAGTTTCAGATGTTGGCTGTACTTCTTTGTCATTAACTGATAGTAATCAGTATATGAGAACTGTGTCGAAATTGTTAACTTTTCAATCTCGAAAATCGACATTACTATCGAAAATAAACCAGCAGATTGTGTCAGTATATAATGACAGCCAGTAATTTGAAAACAAGAATGTCGTAGGTGTATGAACTTTTCCTCAGACAATAGACAATGCCAGGTTTTTTACAGAGGATTTTTACAGATTACTTGCGAACTTCAAAGTCCATCTCGTACAACCAGTCAGCAAAAACTTTCTTAATGATATCAGTTGTATCATCACAAGGTTATTTTATCAGGCTACTTTACTGATTGCTAGACTTCTTTGTAGTTCTGCTGTTAATGCCATTCATCAGCGTTCTTCTTGAGAACAACTGTTAAGGAAACTGAAGGTTTATTGCCAGGAAAGAGTCCGCCACGGATCCCTGTATTGAACTAGGTGAATCCAATCCACAGCCTCTCACCCTATTTGTGTATTGCCTTTCATCTGAGTCTAGTTATTCTTAGTGATCTCTTCCCGCTAGGATTTCCACCAATAATTTTGTATTCATTTATCATCTCGATTCGTGCTACATTCCCCGCCTATCTCCTCGTAGATTTGGTGATCGGTGAAGAGTACAAAAATGGAGCCTGTCATTATGAAACTTTCTCCTGCATCCTGTCGGTTCATTTCTCTTTTGTCAGCACATTTTGCTCACGTATCCCCAATCTCTGTTCGTCTGTACATGAGGGACCGAGTGTAATAACCAGACAAACAAATGCTGGAGCTAGTGTCTAGCAGGCAAGAGCGTTGGACGAACGACAGTAGAGAGTAACTGGAAGCGAACGTGTTGCTACCAAATGACTGTTAAATCGCTGCTTGCGGTGATATTTCATTCGGCGTGCCTCATCTGTCGCCTGCATTCGTATCCGAGCCGAAGTGATTCCAGTAGCAGCACTGGTCAGCGGAAAGAGCGCGCGCCGGTCGTCTCTTGTCATGCTTTGCTGTGATAGGTGGAAATTTTAAACTGAATATTTTTATAAATGTGCAGAGTATTAATGGAACTTGCATTTGGTACAAAACAGGAATTATGTATTTTCTTATTTGTTCCTCTTTTTCTTTTCTTTTTTATAAATAATCGTTTTGCTGAAAAGCTTTGAATTTGTATCCTTCCGCATGGATTTGTTCAGTAAATTTCTCAGATGTCCTGGCACAGAGAATAATAATTGAACCCGGAGAGTGTGACGTCGCTCCAGTGTGGGACCACGTTTAGGTTGTGGATTCTATTTGGGAGTTGGCATGTTGAAATTTCCGTGACATTGCCTGTTACATAACTCTGTCACTGGCTGCGTGCCAGATATTTACGAAGGCCACGGAAGGCGTGTTTCGCTCCGCTGCGTAAGTCGGTTCCTGCATCTATTTTCATGGGTCCTCTTGGTTCAAATCTGCACGATAATAAAAGTCAGCCTTACCCGCCTCAACAAAGAACAAGATGGTAATTTTTTCTGAAGTTCTGCGACTAGTCTCACAAGTGTCAGTTTTTCTGCAAAGATGCTTCTAGAATAAGTCTGCACCACGCAGCTACGCAGTTTTAATTTTTATTTCAAGGACGTCTGCAGTTGAATTGGATTTACAGCTTACGTTCGTTTCCGTCCAGAATTACTTATCTTATTTGTGCATTACTGTAAGCTCGGCATGTGCTTAAAACGTAATCTCAAGTCAGTACTGATTCTCTGAGTGTTTGTGACAGTATTTATTTGCCTTAGGTAAATTTGTTACACACGATGATTCGGGAGTTGATTTCTCCCATTTTTAGCTGACACACTTTTTCACTCTTGAAAGTCAAGTTCTTTTAGTTACAGGCTAGTATGTTATCAACTACGCTAGTATTCTAGATGAAAGATTCATAGAAATGTCAGTATAACAAATGTTCACCTGAAGACGGGAGCCTATATCCGAAACGTCTTGTTTATCAAATGTTTCTCAGACAGTGGATAAAACCCAACATAATATCAGTGCAATAATCTCATTAAGTCCACTGTTTCCTGTACACGTAAACATATAACAAGTACGCCCTAACCATTTAATTGAAGTGCGAAGGATTTAAATTTTGAAGATTTCTGACAGTGGCAGACCGTGACGGTTACAGTTGGGCGTTGCCAGTTTTTGTGGTTCAGAAGGTAACAACGACTTTTCTGGCGAGTGTGGGGGAGGAAGGAGTACCTGTCTAACCAGAAAACTGAAGCTAGCAGATTTATATCACTGGTACAGAACGGGCTATCTGCTGTTCATCCTCTGATGTTCCTAGCCCTCTACCGTTCTTAATATTATTTGTTTCCTCGTTTATTTAACAGAGGATTATTTGAAGGAAACACTTTTTCATAGTTTTGTCCCGGTGTGGACACCCATTCCTGATGGCCCACTTTGCAGCTCCTTTCGGGGTGCCGCAGACATTTTCAGGTCCTTTATACTCAAATTGACTGACTGGCTGCCCCCCCCCCCCCAATTTGAAACTGGGTTCTCGGATCAGGCCTCCCTCAGGACGACAAAAATGTGAATGATAGCTTTTACGTAAACTGGCTTGGGTTGAAGCTACAACCAACTTCTTATGATTGTCCTCACGCGTGACTGCATAATCATTTATATGTGGACTATGGAATATTTTTGACATGCCGTAACTCAGGTCGAGGGCGTATCCGCCCCCAAGGACTGTCTATAGTCAGTCCACGCAAGGTAACCAACCAATCTCTTCACTGCCATTTTCAAAAGGTAACGGAATTCTCATGGTGATGCCGTATTATTTCTTCTGTTGCGATAAAGTGGTCAGATGACATTTATCAGAGAGGGGGATGCTGTGACATTTCGCTGGATAAATTGTTGCTTCGCGTTTCTAGCTCCCCTCTGTCTGTCGTCTTCTGAATCATATCATAGCATTTTTATACGAGCTCCATATATTTTCTTTTCAACGCTCTGCCTGACCTCTTCAGTCGATGGAGAAGAAGCATTAGATTGAAAATCAGAATTTACTTGACATTTAATAAAAAAAATTCTGGTTCCTATAGCAATAAACGGCTCGATTTACGAAATTAAAAATTTGGGAAGAAAGAGTTGTTATAAGATAATTTTATTTTCGAATCGAGCAGGGATAGACTGGATAATTATAGTTATAATTCTTGAGCTCTACGCTAGGTGGAGTGTGCCCTAAAGCTGATTTGACGTCAACCAACCCACAGACCTGAAAGCTAAATAAGACAAAGTTTTTCAAGATCGTAAGACATCGTCCCTTGGTAGGTTTAATGATACACCAGTTACCTTACCAAATGATCTATCTCTTCAGATTTTCACACGAATGTTGTATGCGTTTATCATTACCCCATGTGTGTTTTGTGCTCCTTCCACGAACCTCCTTGATTTGATAATTCTTGTATTTTGCGTGAATTGTAACCTTCAAATTATTTAGCTTCTAATTAACTTATACAATTTTCTCAGACTCTCTGAAACTATGAATGTTTTCCGCCGGAGGGAGAGATAAGTTTTACGTACATACAGAATAACAAATTAAATTACATTGCACGGAACTATAACTTTTAGGTAGGAGACGGAAATGCAGAATATTCTGAATTGATTGACAGAAATATGTAATGAAATATACATGTTTGTGCTTGGAAAGTTGATTTGTAGCTGATGAAAGTGAAAATGAGATGTTTAAAACATATTCGCGAACAAGGAATTTTAAAAATGGGTGTCCTCCAAATTAGAATCAGTCATTCAATGCCTACTAAATACCAGATTTAATCAGAATCAGCTTATTAACAGCAAACGAACATTCTGACTGTCTTTAGGGTGGACACTCTTGTTATATCCACACGAAAGATGATGCCTTTGCTGTTCTAATCACGTGAGAATTTCAGGGATCGCAGTCGAGGGAGTGTTGGATAGGTGGTGGTTGGATGCCATTGATTGAATGTAGAAGGGTAGACGTTGATGTTGATTTCGTAAGTACATAGTGTTCACGCAACGGGTGTTACGGGATCCCCGCAGGCTTCAGAAAGCGCTTGCCAGTTTTCGCAAATTACGCAGGCTACGGTTATTGGCGAAGAGGGATGTTTGATGTCATCTCTCGGGGGAGGCGGGGGATTATTGATTTGCTATGCGTGCCACCATACGTACAGATATGCTGGAAACACCTGATTTGACTGTTCTTGAGATTACAGCCACACGGATAGATAAACTGTCCTTCAGGAAGGTCTGTGTTCGATCCTACCCATCAGTCTTGAAAAAGGGTTAATAAAATGTTTTCAGTATAATATTGTACTACTCTAGTACACAAAAGGTCGTAGGTTCTAGCCCAACTTTCTTTACTGGGGCTAATAGGTGTGAGAAGCTGATCACTCCATCTTCTTATAAAACTGATAGTTTCTCATTTAGTCAAGTCACTTCTGGCCGCTTATAAACCGAAATGTTTATCGTTTTCACAACATTTCCACCACTGCTGCATATTGTGAGCCACTTTAATCCAATTTCACACCCTGTTTTTCGTGATAAATTTTGTATATATTCTTTCGCATAGTGTAGGATTAATTTTATCTGCAGAAATAGTCCGCAAGGAATATGCTATAGTTCATGGACAGTGTAGTCTTTCCTGATGTAAAGTAGCATTAACAGGTTTTTACGATTTCGTTCATCAGAAATGATGAAGCCATGGAGGAAGGCGCATCCCTTCCTTGAGATACAGACGGGGAGGAAATACAAGACAGTAGAATTTATTCCGCGATGCTCATGATTGGAAATCTGTGCCAAAAAAATTCGCGTAATATTACAGGGTTTTTTTAAATTGT